GTCACCCAGGCTGAAGTACAGTGGCGTGATCACAGCTCACTGCAGCCTTGATGTCCTGGGGCTCAAGCAATCCTCCTACTTTAGCCTCCTTAGTAGCTAGGACTGCCGGTGCATGTTACCCTGTCTGAATAATTTTTAAATTTTTTTGTAGAGATGGGGTTTTACCATGTTGCCTAGGCTGGCCTCGAATTCCTGGGCTCAAGTGATCTGCCAATCTTGGCCTCCCAAAATGCTGGGATTAGAGGCATGAGCCACGGCACCCAGCCTAAAATTTCTCATAGAGACAAGGTCTTACTGTGTTGCCCAGGCTGGTCCTGAACTCCTGAGGTCAAGTGATCCTCCCGCCTTGGCCTGCTAATGTGTTGAGATTACAGGCGTGAGCCACTGAACCCAGCCAAAAATATTTTTTCTAATCTCCTAGAGTCATCTTGTCCACACCTAATTTTTTTTTTTTTTGCAACTTACCCTTATGGAGTCTATCCACGGCAGTCAACCATCAACCTAGTTTTCATAGCATTAATAACTCCTTGTTTTACACTCATTTCATCAGCTCATGTACTTTTAAATTAAAGCACTTAGTTAGAGTAACAGATACAATTGCCACAAAAAGGTCTGGAAACAAACCTGACTGTTTCTAGGCTATGTGCAACTCCACTGTTGGAGCGGTTAGGCACCCACACGCTGTGTGTTCCTGTGCCCTAAGTGATGTGTGGCAGGCGGATGGCCAGTACCCTCAACTGGGAGCCCTGGTGCATCTAGTGAGTCAGCTAACTGCAGGTGCAGGCTGGTCACCAGTGCCAGCTGTATCCACTGCATCCCTCTCTTAGCTCAGCCCCAAGAGAAGCCTTGTGCAGATCCGTTCATGTGAAGTGACTGATTTAGGGCTTGACCTGGTTGGCCAGACGTGCTTAGACAGGCCAGCACCCCAAAAGTAGGCCAGACTGTAAATACTTGCGATCTCCAAAACATTTCAAAAACACGAAACCTGTTTTATCCCCTGTGGGTGAACAGGACCATCCTGCTTTTTTTTGCGTATAAAGAGATTGATTTATGTACCTGGGTCATAGGCTCATAGACAAACATGGCTTCTGTTTCCTTAGAGGTGAAAACCGCCTTTCTGGAGGCTGGTCCAACCCAGAATTTAAAATTTAACTTTTGCTTTGGTGCCACCAAGTGGTTAGCTTTGAGATGTCACTTTTGAGATGATGGCTTGGCAAATCCATAATGATAAAAAAAAAAATCTGGGATGTATAGGAGAAGCTCAGAGAATTTTTAGGGCAGTAACACCATTTCGTATAATACAATGGTGGATATATATTATAATACACATTTATTCAAATTCATATAACACCAAGCGTGAACTCTAAACTGTGGACATTGGCTGATTACAATGTGTCAATGTAGGTTCATCAATAGTAGCAAAAGTCTTACTCTGGTGTCGGAGGTTGATAATGGGAGGGGCTGTGGCTCTGTGGTGGGAATAGGGGCCATATGGAAACCTTCTGTACTTTCTGCTCAGTTTTGCTGTGAACCCAAAACTGCTCTGTCAAATAAAATTTATTAATGAAAAGTTCTATGCTACATACATTTTCCCTTCTGGCTACCGGTGTTGCAGGTAAGAGCAAGATAAGATAGAAACATCATGTAGAGGGGCAAGCTGACTTCTTAGGCAGGGATGATACAACCTTTGTGAAGCCCCACATTCCAGAGGCTGGGTCCTTAGCTTTGTGGGTCCCAGAAACCTTCTTATTTTTATTTTTTTCAATGTATGTAGAGTTGTTCAGTTTTTCAGGGCTCTATCATGCTCACCAAACTTACAAGAGACACTTTTTGAAAAGTCAGATTGGCAATATATTATTTTACAATTAGAATAGTATAATCAATGGTAAACCAAGCACATGTGGTAGATGAGAAGTTCATTTTTCACCCTGCAGGAAATTTATATGGGCAGACAGACTGTATCAAGTAGGTTGCTTGGTGAAATTGCAGTAGGGTCGGGGAAGGACGTTGCGTGTCTTAAGGTTGCTACCGTTCAGACGAGGCTATCTTCACCACTTTAGGGATATACATGACTCTGGGCTGGGGATACTTACATTGCTAGGCAGTACAGAATCCTGGACAATGCTGATGACAGGTCAACTTAAACTTTTCCTTTGGGTACTCTTTTCGAAACTCTATGCTGAGTGCATGAGAATTATTTCTTTCCTCACACAGGACATAATATAACTGGCAAGACCAATACTGTAGGCTTGCTGATACAGCTCTGGTCTCCTGTGAATGGTGGGTCACCAAGATTAGCATTTGGATGTTCCCCAAATCATCAGCCACTATTTATAGGTTTTTGGTTAGGCGGGGCTAGTGTACTCATTACATGCTAATTTTTAATAATTTTATTCTCAGAGGAAGACTTATGTTTTATGTTTTGGTGATTCTGTTCCTGAATACAGGTCAAAATTAATATGCAAAATCCTTAATCACTTTGGCGTAGATTCCTAATAGCAAAACCGTACTTGGCTGAAGATGGGAATTATCTTGGTTTATTAGTCTGTTCTCACACTGCTATAAAGACATACCTGAGACTGGGTAATTTGTAAAGAAAAGAGGTTTAACTGATTCACAGTTCCACATGGCTGGGGAGGCCTCAGGAAGGGGAAGCAGGTACATCTTATATGGCAACAGACAAAAGAGAGCATGCAAGAGCAGGGAAAGCTGATTTACAAAACCATCAGATTTCATGAGAACTGATTCACTATCATGAGAACAGCGTGGGAGAAACCATCCCTTGATCCAATCACGTCCCACTTGATCCCTCCCTCCACATGTGGAGATTATGGGGATTATAATTCGAGATGAGATTTGGGTGGGGACACAGAGCCAAACAATATCACCTAGGTTCTAAGTAAGAATGCAGGCCACTTGATGTCTGTGTCATGAGAGCTTTGCACAGGCCTCACTGCCTACTCGTACTCACCAGCCTGTCCTGTGATGCCTCACTGGAGTGCTCAGTTGTCTCCGGTTCTTTAGTGCAGGGGTCCCCAACCTTTTTGGCACCAGGGACTGGTTTCATGGAAGACAATTTTTCCACAGATGGGGCAGGCAGGAGAGAATGGTTTTGGGATAAAACTGTTCCACCTCAGATCATCAGGCATTAGTTAGATTCATAAGGAACGCACAACCTAGATCCCTCACATGACCAGTTCTCATTTTCTATGAGAATCTCATGCCACTGCTGATCGACAGGAGGCAGAGCTCAGGCTATAACGTAATGCTGTGTGGCCCAGTTCCTAACAGGCCACGGACTGGTACCAGTCTGCGGCCCTGGAGGTTGGAGACCTTTGCTTTAGTGCAGCATCCCCTCCCCACCTGCCTCTTCCCCTGTACTGCTGCCATGTGGAGTCCTCGGTCGAGGAAGTTCACGGTATTTGCAGAGGTTATCAATCAGTGTCCTGTGGTTGGAATCTAACCCATAGATCTCTTTTGTTTTTGCCAATATGCTGTTTTTAAAAGTTTGATTTAATTGCCCAAGCTTAAAAAATTTAAAAATCAGGAGATGCACACAAAACTCTGAGTATCCTCTTTCTTTTTCCTTCTTTCCCTCTCTCTCTCACTTCTTTCTTTTCTTTTCTTTCCTTCTTTCCTTCCTTTCTTTTTTTTTTTTTTGACAGAGTCTCACTGTGTTGCCTAGGCAACACAGTGCAGTGGTGCAATCATGGCTCACTGCAGCCTTGACCACCTGAGCTCAAGCAATCCTCCCACCTCATCCTCCTGAGTAGCTGAGACTACAAGTGCGTGCCACCATGCCTGGTTAATTTTTGTATTTTTAACAGAGATGGAATTTCACCCTTTTGCCCAGGCTGGTCTTGAACTCCTGGGCTCAAGCAGTCTGCCTGCTTTGGTCTCTCAAAGTGCTGAGATTCAGGCATGAGATTACTGTAATCGTTCTGGCCTGAGTCTCCAGTTTCTTTGCAAAAAAAAAAAGTGGGTGATCTGGCTACGCATGTCTTACAGCACAATAAGTTATTGGAGTGGGGCCTATGTAGGGCACATTTCTTCCAATCACCCTCTTTCACTGCCCTTCCCTTTCACTCATTTATGTTACTGCTTGGTAACATATTTGGCGGTGACTCATAGTTTGCAAATACAGGATAAGACACAACAGAAAAAACAAGCATAAGGAAGGTAGTGGCTCCTTGTGGACTCTTACTCCCTGCTCTTGTCCTTGCTGGCTGTGGGGAATTCCTTCCTTGGAACCTGCTTTCAGGCTTTTATCTTTTGGACCCTATTTCTGTTAGTATGTCAACTCTGATTTTATCCCTTGTGCTTCCAAGAGGTGTGGGCTGGAGCATTGTTCAGGAAAGCTATGGACTTTGAAATCTGGTCTATATCTGCAAGACCCGGTTTTGAATCCCAGCCCCACTTCTTACTGACTTCAGTTCCCTTATCAGTAAAATGAGGGTGATCACCTGTCTCATAGGTTGGTATGAGTATTAAATGGGATTTTTTAACGTAAAGCATCATGCAGAGGGTAGATCCTCAAATAATAGTGCTCTTGTCCCTCTCTTCTCTCTTTTTTTTCTTTAAATTTTTTTGTTTTGTTTCTTCTTTTTCTATCGGTCCATTGGGAGAAGAAATCTCTCTTCTTTCAAGACATGATTCTTTCTCTTTTTTGTAACCTTGATGAAACCACTTACTCCTCTTTACTCTTTTTATAAAGACTACTGTTTTATTTTTCTTCCTTGTAACTTTGTCTTTCCCATCTGTATATTTCACATATTCCCTTTTCTTAGAGTTAGAACTCTCTCATAAAAACTCTCCTATAAGAATAATGGATGGCAAGTAAATTTATTTTGCTGTGGGAAATTCTATAAGAAGGCCTACCTTTTATCAAATTTCTATAACAATTGTATATAGTTTTGTGATATAAACCACATTAGCTTTCACAGTAATCTGTTGGGATGCTTTCTGCGTATATATATGTTTCCCTGTTCATTGTATTGTAGAAATAGAGCCTAGGTCAAAGGCTGGAAAGTCATCAGGAGAAAAAATTGGTAGTGGAAGGGCAACACTTCGCCTGAGATCAAAAGGTCCTGCCACCGTGGAAGAAATGGTATGTTATGTTCATTTACTTCCTGTTCTGCTTGGAAATGTTGAGATATTTGTGATTATTGGAACTGGAAATAAAGATAAACTCACAAAGTTGGATAAAATTCCATTCATTCTAATAAAAATTTAGACTTTTAATTCATTGTCTAATCTGGAATACTGAAGGTATTTAAAAAGGAAATAAAGAAGTTAAGGACATGAGAAGAGATTGTGATCTATAGAAATTCTCAGCTACCTGTAGGTGACATTTCTAGACTCTGTAGACAGCTGGACTATCTCAAAAACTTAAGTCAACCAAAGCTCTCTGAGAGCCAAGAAAAAGTTTCAGAGCCACCTGTAGGAGTCAACAAAAGAAGATTTTGATAACGAAAGATTATATTCCTAAACCCCTCTTCTCACATAAAAAACCTTGTAGTCATCTTTGACTCTTTTCGTTCATGTCCCACGTTGCTTCCATTAGCAAATCCTAGTGAATCTACCTCTATAAGATACTGGAGTCCAATGACTTCTCACTGCCCCTGCCCACCACTGTGCCGCAAAGCACCATCATCTTATCCTGGATATTGCAATCACCTGTTTAGTACACCTGTGTTCACACTTGCCTTCTTTCCACCTGTGCTCAGCACAACCTTCAGAATGATCCTTAAAATATGCAGGAGAAATTATGTCACTTTTCTGTTTACAACCCTCCAGTGGCTTCCCATGGCACTCAGAATAAAAGCTAAAGTCCTCAGAATGACCAATGTGACCGAACTCCATGTTTCTTCTCTGTTCTCAATTCCCACCCCTCTGCCCTGGCTTCCTCTGCTTCAGTCATGCTGGTCTCCTTGCTGTTCCCAAACACTCCAAGTGTATCCCCATCTCAGGCTGTCAGTACTGCTGTTGTCTCTGCCTGAATGTTTTGCCCATTTATCTGCATAGCTTGCTCCCCTGCCATCATTAGGTTTCTGCCCACACATTGTCTATCTCAAAGGCCTTTCCCGAGCATCCTGTATAAACAACAACTCCCTCCACCCCTCCCACTGCCCACTCTTCCACGCCCTTAATTTCTGTCGAAGCAATTGTATTAGTCTGTTTTCACACTGCTAATAAAGACATACCTGAGACTGGGTAATTTATAAAGAAAAAGATGTTTAATGGACTCACAGTTATATATGGCTGGGGAGGCCTCACAATCATGGCGGAAGGTGAAGGAGGAGCAAAGGCACCTCTTATATGGCAGCAGGCAACAGAGTATGTGCAGGGGAACTGCCCTTTATAAAACCTCAGATCTCGTGAGACTTATTCACTATCATGAGAACAATGGCATGGGAAAAACCTGCCCCCATGATTCAGTTACCTACCACCAGGTCCCTCCCACAACATGTGGGGATTAGGGGAGCTACAATTCAAGATGAGATTTGGGTGGGGACACAGTCAAACCATATCAGCACTAAACACCCTAGGACTCTTTTTATCTCTGATTAATTTTGTCTACTGTCTAGCTCCTTTGCTCACATGTCTTGTTCACTGCTGCATCCCTAGCACCTAGAATAGGACCTGATATACCAAAGGAATGGAAATCTTTGATGCATTGATGAATTAATAAATGATTTCTTTTAGTTTGAGAAAAGCAAGGGTTTTTCCCTTTGACTGACTTTATCTATATACAGGTTAGTGTTTGAGTGAAAAACACCAGAAGGAGAAGTGAAAACTAGAGGCAGGAAGGGTGGAGGAAGAAAACTGCAGGGTTGGGGTGCTGATGGTAAGGATTCTGAGTGACAAGCAGCAGGCCCACAGCAGCAGCAAAGGCAAGGGGGGCAAAGCCCTCCTGTGGGTAGACGGGATGTCGAGCAGGTGACTGATGCCTGTGAGCTCCAGGGGGCAGGGGCAAGGCACTGGGCCCTTCTAGGGTCTCTCTATATGTGAACACTGTCTGGGTTCCTGTGTGTTTGAAGGAAAAAAGAGACAGGTGAACAGTTTTGAGGCTGTTTCACAGAGTGGATCCCAGAACTTGGGTGACAATGTCCAGGGTTGGTCATAAGGGTGGTTTGTTGAGGCAGACACTTAAGGAACCCATGAGGCCAAGGCTGTCCTTAGGAGTGTCAAGTCACCCAGGGTGTTATCAGTTTTGGGGGGATCCAGAGGAAGATCCTGAGTCAAATGCTTGGGTTCTGGGAGAATGAAAGGACCGATCGGAGGCAAATGGCAATGAAGAGAACTGATAGGGCAAAAAGTGTTTTGAAAAGGAGATGTGATGAGGTATGTGAAGGAAACCCAGGGCAGTGACTTCTGGGTGTTTGGAGCCTTTATTTTCCCTCTGTGGCCCAGCACACTGCCTGGTATATTGCTGAAGGCCAGTAAGTGTTTATTGAATGAATAAGCAAATCTCAGTGGAAGAAAGGAATTTATCAGAGAAGAGAACAGAAGGGAAGGAGCTGGCTGTGGGGAGCCGGGAGAATGTCAGCTCTGCCTTTTGCCGGAGGCTGTGAGGAAAAATGAGCAGACCTTTAAACGGCTCACAGAGGAAGCAGATCAGCAGGAAAAACGCCACATCACTTCAGGAGGAAGGGCATCTTCTAAGGGTTAAATCATCCATCCCTCTTTGTTAAGCTCCTGCTGTGGCAAAGGTGCCTCAATGGAAAAGAGCAGCTTAATATCTACCTGGGGAGGTAGGAAAGATTCATTCAAAGATAAACATCTAAAAATCCATTCCTATTTTCATAGCTTGTTTAGTAAAATAGGGCAATTAAAAATAGCTCATAATGAAAGGAAAAAGCAGTTTGGTGCTAATATTAAATTTGACACAAATGACCTAAAATCTAATTTCAAACACTTTAAGGATTTAAAGGATTTATAGGATTTGAAACAAATCACTCCCTTAATCACCTAGCACAAATTCTGAAAATGGTGTAAGATTCTCTGTATTAGTCCGTTTTCACACTGCTATAAAGAATACCTGAGACTGGGTGATTTAAAAGTAAAGAGGTTTAATTGACTCACATTTTCACATGGCTGGGGAGGCCTCAAGAAACTTACAGTCATGGCAGAAGGTGAAGGGGAAGCAAGGCACATCTTACTTGGTGGCAGGAGAGAGTGAGTGTGCAGGAGGAACTGTCACTTTGGAAACCATCAGATCTTGTGAGAACTCCCTCACTATCATGAGAACAGCATGGGGGAAACCACCTCATGATGCAGTCACCTCCCACTAGGTCCCTCCCTTGACATGTGGGGATTACAATTCAAGATGGGATTTAGGTGGGCACACAGAGACAAACCACTTGCATAACCTCATACTTTATTCAATGTGTGCTTGCTGAGACAGGCACAGTCTAAGTGCTGGTGATACAAAGAACAAAGACCCTGTTTCTCTTCTAAAAGGAGAGAACCATGAAAAGAAACCATTACAACCCAGTGGGATAGGGTTAATGGAAGCAGGTGCAGGATACACAGTATGACAAAGAAGGGGCTGATCAACCATTGTCAGGGATTGGGGAAAGAAAGGAGGTCAGAAGGCTGGGTGTGGTGGCTCATGCCTGTAATCCCAGAACTTTGGGAGGCTGATGTGGGTGGATTACCTGAGGTCAGGAGTTTGAGACTAGCCTGGCCAACATGATGAAACCCCATCTCTACTAAAAACATAAAAATTAGCCAGGCATGGTGGTGGGCACCTGTAATCCCAGCTACTTGGGAGGCTAAGGCAGGAGAATCACTTGAGCAGGAGGTGGAGGTTGCAGTGAGCCGAGATCACGCCATTGCACTCCAGCCTGGGCGACAGATTGAGACTCCATCTTAAAAAAAAAAAAAAAAAAAAAAAAGGAGGTCAGGAAGAGTTTCTCTCTGGAAGAAATGAGTAAGTGAGTTCAAAATGGGGAAGAAGAGTGTTCTAGGCATGGCACAATAATGGGTTTTGGGGACCTGTAAGCTGTCCATGAGATTGGTGTGTGGGGTGCTAGAAGTACTGGTTAGGGGTGATGAGGCTGGAGGCATAGGCTGGGGTTAGGATGTGAAGGGCCTTGTCGATAATGAGGGAGCCATTTAAGAATTATGAGGGGAGTAACACAATCAGTTTTGTGTTTTAGAAAAATCCCTTGGTTCCAGGGGATGGGTTGTTGAGCAGCTTGGATTTGAGAGGCTGAAGACCAAAGGCAGGGAGACAAAATAGGAAACCTCTGCAAATCAGAAAAGATGAGGACTAAACACTGGCAAACAGCATGTGGATGGAGAAGAGGTGATAGATCCAGATCTGTTCTGTAGCAAATAGGAAACATTAGAATAGTAAAATATTGGTGGCCATTTGTGTATGAGGAGTACTGTCACTTGTCACCATAACTTAAAACGTGCCTGGATAGATGTAAAGGTTAATACCTGTTAGTTTGCATAGCCTGTTGCTTTATACAGACAGTTCAAGATACATTGTAATGAAGGCAAGAGCAATATATTGTCTGTTATTGTTTTTAAGGTTTAGTTCTTGTAAATAAAGATGTGAGAAAGTTGTACTAATATCTTCAAGGAAATAGATTTTTATTTGCTATAAAATGCATGATTTTAACAAAATTTGAGACTACAAAACAATATATATTTATAACAGTATTGAAAGTAACATGAAATTCTTATAATCTAAATCATGAATTCTACATTTGCATGTATAGTTGAGTAGTTAACATCTTTGGGCAATTCCATTTTCAGCTATGAAGCCATTTAAAGCCAAGTATTGAAATAAACTGAGCAGAATTTACCAAATATTAAACCGAAAAGTTAGAATAATATTTCTACTGAAATGTTTAGTAATTGTTTTGGGAAGAACAAAAATGTTGTGGTACCGTTAATACATAACACAAGGGGGGGGTGGAGCAAGATGGCCGAATAGGAACAGCTCCAGTCTCCATCTCCCAGCCCGAGCGACACAGAAGACCGGTGATTTCTGCATTTTCAACTGAGGTACTGGGTTCATCTCACTGGGGAGTGCCGGACGATCGGTGCTGGTCAGCTGCTGCAGCCCGACCAGCGAGAGCTGAAGCAGGG